TCACTAGCTTTATCAACGGTAGCAGTGTTACCGCGCACTCAGCACTATGGCATCTTCGGCCAATTTTAACACCGTCGCAATGCTGCCAGGCACACCCTACTTCTGCCCAACTGCGCCTGGCCCGTCCACACCAAAATGGTTATCTGAAGGGCATCCACATCCCGAATACCAGATCCCGAAGTTCGTCAGCAGGAGCGGTACTAGGATGCATCCAGTCCCGGACCCCTTGAGGTATCCGGCGGACGTCAGATGGCCTTCTGAATTTGCATATCAAATTCAAACCTTTCATCCGGCAGCAGCAGCAGGTAGGCCGTCTCTGCCTGATGCATACCCTACCGACCCGTTTCCTTCCACATCGATGGCGCAGCTACCCGGTAACTGTTGCTTTGGCCGTTTAGAAAACACAGGGCCTTGCTATTATCCGAATACAATGCTTCCGACTGGCTATGCAGCGCCTTCTCCTAATAATTATTTTGCTGCAACCCAACACATCGCTCAATGGAAGGTAATCATTGTGAAATTCTCGAAAAAAATCAAGCAGAAATTAAAACAGCTTAGCATTTCATCAGAGGTAAGTTGTATGCAAAAGCAAGAGACAGTGCCTGTGACTAAGTGGTCACTTCCACAGCTCGGAAATACTTGATATGATTTCAGGCCCCGGGGGTGATGAATCCGCAAGCGAATGGAAAAAAATCACGAGTGACGCAGCCGGTGGCCAACACACCGCCGTATCGCACAGGCCCAGGCACGAACAGTGAGTGTGTTTCCTTCCACGCTATTTATTTGTAGTAGTAATATAAGTAGTGGCTTTAAATTTACAACTGCTATTTGGGCGCATTTTACGATACGCTGCAATACAACTGGCAATTGTAAAAATTTTATTGATACTATGTTTTATTGGGATTGCATGAATTGCTGGACGCTAAAAGCTGCTTGCAGGCACTGCCTTCCTTATCAGTGAGTGCTAGTTCGTCACTGATAAGAAGTACTCTTCCCCTTTTCTGCTTCCGTTTAGTGAACACTCAATTTTTTTTTTGCCAAAAAGGGCAGTCTTTGGGAGGTGAACTAATGGTAAAAAATCCCACACTTCTGACAACTTATCAGGCTCCGGTTGCTTCCGCATCTATTCACTTGTAAATGGAAACGCGTAAAACGCCATCTTGACTGCCCAATTTTTGCATTGAGTTTCTGGGCTTTATGAAACCTTAAGTTTATATTCAAAGGGCTGTTTTTTGCTTAGAAGCATACATTTTGTCCCCTCAGTCCCAAACCCATTTCACACTTCTCTTCAGTCAAGTCTGTTGAACTGTTCAATTCGGAGTTTGGTTATCAAGGCTGCTACGTTTTTAAAATTCCTGGAAAAATTCTCCTCTTTGAAGAGATACGCAAAAAGAAAGTAGAAGAAAAGTTGGTGACATTTTCCTTGACAAACCACTGTAGGTAATAACGAATTTTTGTTCAACGGATGTAAAATTTTGCAACTTTTCTGTGTGTGGAACGGAAACGAAACTGTATTGATAAAACAAGCAAATAGTTAACATTTGCATGAAAAAAGCTATGCGCATTTGCTTTAGAAGCCGTGCTGGAAAAACAGCTTTAACTCATTACTGACAACGTTTTATCAAAAGTACTAAGACAAAA